AAATGTACGCATTATCCTGCCCATGCAATTGTAACCCCTCTGTACAGTATGTTCACAAATAAAATAAAATTAAATTAAAAAAAATAAAATAAAATGCAAATGTCACACCAAAAAAAAATGAATGCTATTCAGTCAGTTAATAACTATTCATCTTACCTCTACAGTAGGAGGCAGTAGAATGTTTTTGTTAAGAGATTGGATTTTGGAGCTGGAGCTGGTTCACATCTTGGGCTGTGCTACTTGTTGGCTCTGTGACCCTGGGGAAGTTACTTAACTCTGAGATTTACTTTCTAGAATGACCATAAGAAAGATGATGCACATAGCGACTCACTTTATTGAGCATCGTAATATATGATAGGTTATCATTTGAGCTCTATAATTTAACTCATTCTGTCCTTCAAACAACCCTATGAAAAAGTACCATCTTCACACTTGCTGAAATTTCCATAGTCAAGATCACACAACTAGAAAACTGTGGAGCCTAGATTAAAACCTTGGCAGTCTGGATTTTCTGGTTTTGGCTATACAGAACTAGCTTGCTGAAGACCAACCTTCCTACCAAGGGAAACTAAAAAGCAGAAATATATTTTAAAAGTCTCTTTGAAGGTACTGTAGTCATCCCAAGGGAGCTAGGCTTTAGCAGAAGAGGGAATCCTAGAGAGTTTTCCTTCTAGACCATATGCTGATTTGTAGTTATGGGAGAAAGACTAAGAGAATAAGTGAAAGTGGTCATGGAGAAATTGAGGGCTGAGCAGGACTCTCAGCCTGGAGGTTTCATTGACAAAAGTTAGAGTTCAGACCCTAAGAAGGAGAAAACCTTATAACACCTAAGTCCTTTTACTGGGGAGGGTCACTTAAGTGGTGGTCCATGGAGAAAGAATTGGTCTTTCAAGAATTAAAGCCCAGATTCTAACCCCCTCCATTTGTGATTAGCCTAGTAGAATCTGCCCTTAGTCTGAATTGCCAACCAGAAGGCAAAGTGACATCTTTTTAGCTAAATAACATCTGTTAGAGCCTCAGGTTATCTCCTGAATTTTTCACTAGTCAGCTGAGGAAATTATTCAAAACTATAAGATAGATATAGGTATTAGAGTTATCAGACTCAGATGTTAATAAAAATAACTAAGATTAGCTGGGCGCAGGTGGCTCACACCTGTAATCCTAGCTATTCAGGAGGCTGAGATCTGAGAATCACAGTTCAAAGCCAGCCTGGGCAAGAAGGCCATGAAACTCTGATCTCCAATAAACCACCAGAAACCAGAACTGATCCGGTGCTGTGTATCAAGTGGTAGAGTGCTAGCCTTGAACTGAAGAGCTGAGGGCTGGGAATGTGGCTCAGTGATAGAGTGCTTGCCTTGCATGCATGAAGCCCTGGGTTCAATTCCTCAGCACCACATAAGCAAAAAGAAAAAAGCCAGAAGTGGTGCTGTGGCTCAAGTGGTAGAGTGCTAGCCTTGAGCTGAAGAG